GTGGTATTAAAACAATGAGCAAAATACATTCATCAGTCTTGCTTTCCCACTTTGTAGCAATTGCCTTTGAATTTCTTAGCATTCTTGGTATGTCTCTTTTTGGTATATCACTCGAGACTTAGCTTTTCTTGTTGATCCTTGATCCGAATTCCACCAAGTTGGCTTTGGCTTGCCCAAATTGAACACTAAATTTCATTTCAGTCTTGTTGTTGTCTTCTTCTATCCTTAGTCGGACAATGAGTCCTTCTAAGTTCATCTCCTTGCCTTGTACATGAGATAGTTTTTCAAATCTCTCCAAAAAGGAGGATGTTTTTCAATGATAGCAGTAACTTGGAATGATTCACTCAATTTCATGTTCTTGGCATTTTTGTCACATAAAAGAACATGTAGTTCTTGTACTTGCTTATTACGATTTTGGAGTTTATTATCTTGTAATCAAGGAACTTTCTGACTATGAATTTGTTCGCGCTGACGACCTCCATTTTGTACTTTTTCATCAATGAATTCCAAATTTCTTTTGCAGATTTAGCGCACTATACACACTATATAATGTGGAGTTCAATCCATTTAGTTCTTGCATATGAAGTCCGAGTTCTTCCAACCATCCAATGTGATAATTAACTCACGATTATTCTCTCCTTTTCGTACGATAAGAGGATCTTCGGTTAGAAACCTTGCCAAATTCAAGGTGGTGAGATAGAACAACATCTTTTGTTGCCATCTTTTAAAATCCACTCCGCTGAATTTCTCCTATTTCTTTCCGTGTAGAATTGGAGTAGTTTATAGTGGTATAACCATCGATGGAACCAAATTAATTGTACTATTTGTTGTTTGACTCAAAGTAGTCCCAACGATATCCATTTCTGTTATGAAAATAGAAGTTCAACACAATTAGAACACGAAAGGAACAACAACGTTTTGCTTATTCCAAGAGATGAAAAGAATCAATCTATAACAAGCAAAACGATAATGAAATTCGTCTTAAACTTGTTAGGGACATCTTGTTTACATTTGCAAGATATAATTAAAACTTAAGAAATCAATTAACAAAAGTAAAACTTACTTGAAAGAGAAACTTTCTCTTACTTTCACGAATGGATCACAAAGCCCACGATTTCTCAACCTAGACACACAAACAAGAAACCTTCCCATATTTATTTCGAATGAACATGCATGATTCTAACAAAATGGTAGGCTATAATGGATTTATAGATGAGACTCCTACAATGATTGTGCATGTATGGATCGAGCTGTCGAAACTCCCAATAGAATTCTTAAAGGAATAAATAATTTTCACAATTGCTAACGCTGCAGGCTCTGATTTTTTTTTTTTTAACTGCAAAGTTGAAAGCCATATAGGATTGTGGCAAGCAAGAAAAACTCGAGTTAGTAGGGCTCAACAACACCTCTTCACCCCTCTAGGTTGTGGCCGAAAGGTCATACAGTACTTCGAAATCTCTCATTGACTGAATGAGGCCCTTTTACCATGTTCAGAAAAGCAGAGTACCATGGAGGGATTAGCGGCATTCCTCTTCATCAGTATATGAATCCCTATCGTTTAGAAAGATATGCACACCCCTTCTCTTAACTCTAACACACTGGTAACTAAGAAACTCTCTTTAAGTGGAGTGAAGCCAGCACGCGGTATACAACATACAAGGGGACAGAATTAATACAAGTAGTGGGAATGTCAGGCAATCAACCATGTAGACACAAAATATATCAAACTCGCTCATCAGAACAACTAATTGATTCATTATGTGACATAAGTTACACAAGCTAATAGGAAATCGGCATGTACTTCGCTACATTTGTTTATGCACCAACTACGGCCAGGATCACCCATCTTGCAAAAAATGAAGAAAAAAATTGAAGAATGCAAAAACCCATGGTAAGTGTTCAACACTGTCTTTAAGACGAATTTGCCCTACAATGGTGCTTTAATGAGTCTTGTAAATCGTCTCCTAAGATATACCAGATTCTAATTGTAGTAGAAACAATTCAAACTTCAAGGCAATGGGGAACTCAATATAGAATTTTCTCTCAATTAAACTACGATTTTATGCAAGAAAACAATGAATTTGAAGGTGTTTTGATGTAAAGTAATCAAAGAGAATGATATAGAATGAATTTAGAGGATCTAGAGGATCATAGAAGATGAGAGCTTGTGATCGAAGAGATACGTCCCAAAACTCAGTAGGTTTCATGAAGGGGCGCAATCCTTTAGGCCGCTTGGTTGGCTGCTACTACCGCTTGTGCGGCAGTCTTATATGCAGAATTTCCTTCTTTTTTTCCCATCTTTGGACCATAATTTCTCATTCATTCGAAATTGATTTTGAGATTTCAAATATATTTCGATCATCTACCCGACAAATAAAACAAATTAGTCTATTCACTTGCGTGATTTGACTATTGGAACATATCCGAATATTTGACCGAAGTTGATAGAAAATCAACTTTTGTTAATTTTACTTAACCAATTTTAAACAAATTCCAACAGTCCTTTAAAAGTCTCACATTTATTTGGAGTAGCTCTACAGAATACGAGGTTGTCATCAACGAAAAAGAGGTGAGTCACTCGAAGTCCATTTCAAGAATCGAATACTCCTATTCCCTTGAAGCCCATTGGAGTATTTGGGGAAGTCCATCTGCACAACAAGAATAGTCATAGATAGAGTGGGCATCCTTACCTTAATCCCCGGGAAGGCACATGTCCATGTAGTTTGTCGGTAATAAGAACGGAAAAGGTGGCAGTGGATGTGCATCCATTAATCAGCCGGCACCACCGTTCTAAAAATCCCACCTGTTTCATCACATGGATTATAAATTCCAATTGATCCGATCATATGCTTTGCTCATATCGAGTTTCAAAGATAAATATCCTAATTTTCTGTTCATACGATACATTAGAGATTGCACAAATCCAAATGCTGAAACTACATTATCTGTAATGAGTATGTATAGGATGAAAGCACTTTGAAATGGGGATTGCTACGACGTATATTTATGGAGTAATGTTATTTAGCATCAGTTTAGGTGACGACACTAACAAGTGATATTAAATTACATGTACAATTAAATTTAAAAAATTATGATCCACTTAATATGACATGTGATATACTGACACCTAAACTAACTTTTTAACACCACGGACGTTAGCTAACATTCTTCATATTTCTGTAGCGTCTGGCATGATGGTAGAAGACTTGTCTGTATCCATGAGCTAGATACAACTTCTATGGAGTTCCATTTTTTGCCTTCTACACATGATAGAGTTGAGAAGATTTCTGGAGGAAAATGAAAATGAAAATGAGAAATGAATTTTTAGATTCAAATTTGTGAGTTATAACATGGATATAAAAGGATTAATTTAACTGAATTTCAATGAACTTTCACCCTAGTTGCAATTGGCTGAAATGTTCGCCAAAACTCACAAATCGGGTCGCATCAATCATTAAATTTTATTTTGAAGTAACGAGTCATAAATCATGCAATCCAATCCCTATATAATTCACACTCTTTCTTACATCTTTATTACATAAAAAATGATTTTTGTTAGTGCGTGTTTGAATTGGCTTAACCAATAATTTAAGTTGGTCAAACTTTGATTTTAACTTCACATTTCCGTAGGATTCCACTTATCATGCACATATTCCGTAGAACTCAAAATCTTCATCATTCTTTTTTATCTTCTTGTAAGTTAAGACAATCCAAATATGCAATGATTATATCTGCAACATTAACTAGTGAGAAATTATGGGATTCAACACTCAAATTCATAATAATTTCCTGAATTCAATCAATGATAAAATAACTAAATTTGAAATGAAAAAATGAAGCAGCTATTGATCCAATATCACATGAAAAATCAAACATCAGACGCCCAACTAAACATAATGTCCAATTCGATATAAGGGTGGGGATTGAAGTATCATGTTTACCACATTCTTTACTTAGTTTTATGTTCTAACTACAATTTAAATTTGCGAACATATCAAACAATACAAGAAAACATAGAATAAGAGTCGAGGACGGGAGGGGACCATGGGTAAATGATCGAATTAGTTGAGTATGCATTTTAAAATAGGAGCATACTTGACATTTGGTTAAAAGGATGCCTGTTCTACAGAAATTTCAAATCAATGTGGCTCGCTTGGAGGAGCGAATAGAAGATGTCTTTGTTCTATCTACTTCTTCCTCTCCCCAAGAATGAAGTTGCCTCTTACTCAGAATAGAATGTTCATTTACGTGCAATAATAGGCAGATTCGACAAGAACATCATGAGTTCAAATCCATTGAGCCATTTATATTATTTGCACATCAATCAGAACTCAGAAACACAACAAAGAATCTGTAATTCAAGCATAAAGCCATACATGCTAGTGAATGAGTCGAGTTCATTTCCCAGCTATATAAAACAATTCAAAGAGAAGCATGCATTGATATATAATAGTACATGTTTTTAGACAGATTCATGCTTAGAAATCCTACTACAAGAATTGGGAGTCGATCAATTTATGGCTTCACTAATTGCTCGTGAAGAAAGATTGTGCAAGTAAAAATCATCAAGAAGAATGAAGTTAATTTGAATGGATTCAACGTATATAATAAGTAAAGAAATAGTAGTATTACTCATGATGCTACAAAGCCAGCAAGTTTTTTCTCCCAAATAAACTAAAAACCATCAAAAAGAAAGAACCGCTGTTGATTGATTACATAACAATTACCTGCAACCAGAGTAAATAACACCAGATATCCTACAAATGGTGTTAATTACCAACAGAGAAAAAAGTTCGAAAAGATAATGAACAAGGATACCCGGCCTAGACAACAAGTGGCAGATAATGAAATGATGTCTACTTCGGAACATCTCAAATTGGCTTGCAATATGATACAGTTGTCAGAAACACAAAATGGCTGTTGGGTTTGGCAATACAGACATCATTAACCAGCTTTGGGTACAAAAGATCCCGGATGGATCAAAGATATACGGTGCAGTATCATTCTGTTGAATCAGAATTCCCTTCTGCCTCTGTTCCTGATTACAATGTCGGTAAAAGAAAGTTAGAAGCAACCGGGGCTGACAAATGTAAGAGTTGATCAAGTCAAAATCCACTTTAGAGAACAACAAACTAGGTCTTATCCCCCAATTAATTTGGAATCAACTATGTGAATCTATTTTGCTACTCATTACTACATCCAATCGAAGATCCAACAACCACAACATAGCATCATTATTAAAATCCTCTTTTAAAATGATGTACGAAACACTTAAACTTGTAGGAAGATGTAAACAAGCTACATCTGTTTCGACAGTTCTAAAACCTCAAGTTTCTACCTCCACATACATGCCACCAAAAGGAAAAGAATTGCAAACTAAATAAGTGTCAACATCATTGTTTGTAGAACATTTAGGGTATAACTGTAGCCGCTTCTATAGTTTCAATTTAACCTCGTAATTATATGCTTATACATGCAAATTTTCACACAGCTTCAATGCTGATTCTTGAAGCTCCATTAATTTTATGAGGCGGCAATGATTTATGAGTACAGTTTGTCCAGATCTAATTTAGCATATCCGTCCAGTGAATTCCCCCACTTAACCTCACAAGGGTATAAATAATCACCACAGGGATGCAAAAATCGATGCTTATGTTCTTGTTTTCTAATCTGTATGATGCAAATACTTACTTCCCTGAAAGAATAAACTAGTCTGGGTTAATGATGTTGAAACCATCAAATGCAGCAGAGATGTTTAAACTACTAAATGATGTAGACTAAAAAGTTGACACCAGTCGTGAGCGAAAGGTCTCCTGGGTTTCAGAAATTGTCATGGGAACTACATGCCGTCTGATTCGCTGCTATGATACCTGCTAATGCAGTAGATAATGATGTTCAATCTACCAGCTAAAAATGCTAATTTCCTGAGAATCAACTACAATGCTTATGATATTTGAACTATAAAATGCAGAAGAAAATCAAGCATTAACAGGTCTATCGGAGCCTATGACAACTCGTCTCTCAACTGCACATAGAAAAATCATCAAAAAGAACTTGATTACTAGTATAACTACTATCTAGCAGCTTATGCGGAGATACCACAAATAAACAATCTTTATACAGCAATATTTTCCTTAGCAGGTACAATCAAGGCGTGCAATGTAAAAGGTGACTGCAAACTTATCATTTTAAACTGTTTTTTGGGTAATGAAGTAGGCCATGGACTTTAACTAGGTACCGGAGAAGGTGTACATGAGGGATGAGTTGGGTTCGTTTCTCTAGCATGTTCCATATCACCTCGGTATAACTGAGAAGTGTATTTATAAAGATTTGAAGGTAAACCTCACACAATGTACTAAGCCAGAGTTAGCTTCCTTTAACAATTTCACCATAGCATAAATGATCAAATAGAATATACCAACTAACAATGTAGAATTACAAGTTTCAAATTACCCAAAACAAAATGAAAATCCTAACCTTCATCACTATTTACTTCCTCTTCTGCTTCTGCTTCTTCCTCTTCATATTCATCCTCCTCGTCTTCCACATAATCAAACCCGTACCTCTCATTCAAGAACTCAACTGCGCCTTTGGTGAAAACTAACTTCTCTGCGTCCAAAATGTCGAACAGATTCAGAGTCCTGGGCGTCAGCATTTTCAAAGTCCCAATATTCCGACTCGAAAGCTTCACATTATCCGAAACCTCAGTCATCAAAAACGTAGATTTCTCTTTTGGGTCCAGTCCCAATCTCTTCATCATTGCAATGAACTCTTTGGTTTTAGGCTTCTCGAATTTCTCATCAAAATCCTCAATCACAATCGTGTTCTCAAAAGCACTAGAAATGGCAGTAGAAATCGCAAGCTGTTTCTCTTTCTTGTTAATCTTAATAGACCAATCCTTAGGCTTGGGCCCGAAAATAACCCCACCACCGGGGCGCAACGGGGTTCTCCGCGAACCCTGGCGAGCGTGGCCGGTTTTCTTCTGACCGTAAGGCTTTTTCCCACCGCCTCTCACCTCGGCGCGAGTCAGTGTAGAAGCGGTGCCACGGCGACGGTTCGTGAGGTCAGTGGTGAGTCCACGGTGAACGACGGCGCGTGCAGTTTCAGCAGGAGCGGACTTGAGGTCCAGAGTGGCTGTACCTACCTGGGTTCCTTCAAAGGAAAGCACAGGGAGAGTGGCCAATTCAGAACGAACTGAAGCTCTCAATGGGAATTTTGAATTGTGGGATTTCGAAAAACAGTTGAGCCTTGAGGAAGTGGTTGGTGTGGAGATGAAAATTGAGGAAGAGAAGAAGGAAATCGAGGAAGAGGCAGCCATTTTTGGTTTCTTGGAGTGGGAATGGAAATGTGTTGGTGTGTGTTATCCTATAACTCCTATCAGTTGGCTAATCCTTTCGGCTGTATTTGAACGTTGCGGGTTTGACATACGGATACAAATTGGACCCGATAATAAATAAATTTGAAAAGTAAAAGAAATTTGGAGTTGTGATCTTCAAACTTTCACAAATAATACAATCTTTGTCTACTACAATGTTGACATTTCAATATGTGTTAAACTCTGTGTGATTGATTGTTTAAAATATTGTTAAAATTAATGTATCAAAAGTTATCACCTCGCAACAATATCATATTTGGAGGGTGTTTGGTGGGGATTAAAATTAGATTTTAAGTGGATTGTGATAGAAATTTTTGAAATGTGTGGTTGAAGAGATGTAGTTAATATTGATTGTTTGACTTTGATTTAGATTAAAATCATATTAAAATCTGGCCCAAATTTTAATCCTTATCAAACACCATCTTAATTTTCTTTACGCGAATTAATTGCTCTATATGTAATAGAATTATAGTTTTTATTTTTTATCAATAAATAAAAATGTGCGATGATGAGTGACAGTGCTTGCAAATTTTTTAAATAGATAAATAATAGTCTAATCCAATATAAAAAATTTATAAATTGTAGCCACGAGAAGATCCTGGTTTGGAGACAGAATTGATTCTCTCGGATATGGATTAATTTCATAAAATTGATTAAAATTTTATTTATGAAATCTCCCAAATGCCCCTCAACTCTCTGTGTGAATTATTCTGATAGTGATAACGTGGGCCCGTTGGGAACGGGTTGCTTGTCATCTGGATTTATTCCGTTATGTTTGTGGTTATGTTTATAGAAGAAAAGAAATTGTGCGAAAGTATTTGAACGTGACATCGAAAGCAACAAAGGGAAATAGAGAGATCGAATGGAAAATAATGTCCTAATTTAATTTAATATTAAAAAAATTATAAATTGTAGCCACGAGAAGATCATGGTTTGGAGACAAAGAATTGATTCTCTCGGATGTGGATCAATTTCATAAAATTGATTAAATTTTTATTTATGAAATCTCCCAAATGCCCCTCAACTCTCTGTGAATTATTCTGATAGTGATAATGTGGGCCCGTTGGGAACGGGTTGCTTGTCAACTGAATTTATTCCGTTATGTTTGTGGTTACGTTTATAGAAGAAAAAAAATTGTGCGGAAGTATTTGAATGTGACATTGAAAGCAGCATAGAAAGATCGAATGGAAAATAAAGTCCTAATTTATTTTATTTTTTTCTTTTGATAAAATTTTTCTTATTAATCAATTAATTATATATAATTGAAAAAGCCATTGCGGTTTAGTATTTTTCAGCGACTAGATGGGAGCGGATTATTTTCTACCTNATAAAGCACCCCTTTTTGGGATTTTCTCTCAAGAGGTTTGTCCATTACACAATCGTCTGAATTTCCTTTTAATTGTTAACGACTACCCGCGCGAAACAATTTGGCATTCCCAGTGGGACATTGGTGTTTAGTGTTGAAGATACAACAAGTGAAGCATTATGCCTCATAAACATTTGGATAAAGAACCAGCAAGTCAGGGAGTAGTCCAGTCTATAATCGAGCGATATAAGGAGCAACAAAGCTCTCCACGAACAGAGGGACAAAGTCAAAGCAGTCACAGTCGTTATGAACCAATGACAAAGTTGAGTCCTTGAACCATGCGTGCATTGCTCGGAGAACTCACACAGGATGTTGTTGAATAGGTAAATCTACGAAACATTCATAATATGAAAAGATTTACCCAAAGTGGGAATGCACATTACGATAATATGGCCAAACAACTGAACACACTAAATGAGATAATGAACAAGTTGGTAGGCCAAATGTGTCAGCCAGTTATGCCTGTTGCAAACCACTTTCAAACCAAGACAATTGTGAGACATAATTCACCACATAATTCTTCTGGTTTGAATTTAAATCAAGAACTAGAGCCACCCTTTGGTCCATCTACTTCGAACCAGGGGGTAGTGGGATGTCAAACTCGAATGGTGGTATAACTCAATTATAAGGGATAATGTTCTGAATGATAGATAGAATGTCCCATGTATTAATGATGGTTTAAACCCTCAATTCAATGGTAACAATGGCTCAAACAATGGCAATTTTGTTACCAACCAAGGACCAAATGTTAGACCTCAAGCGAAT